TGGCTAAGTCACCCTCTCCCTATAAATAGAGGGTTCTATTCCATTGTAATTCATTCCAAAATTCAATAAGAATTCCCTCTCTCTACTTTTCTCTGCAATACTCTTCTTTTTCTTTTATTATTTCATAACACGTTATCAGCACGAGACTCTAACCAATTGAGTAGAAGCTTTGGGATTGAGCATAATGATTGTCAATTATTCCATGAACTTCCTTCATGATTAAATTCTGGATTTAAGGTAAGTCTTTTACCGTATTTTTCTCTTTTATTCTATACTTTGATTTTAAATACAAGCAAAGACAACAAAGTTTGATTATAACTCTAATGGAGTTTGTAAGAAATTATAACCACCTGAAGTGGTAAAATTTCTATGCCTCGCCATGATCAACTTCATGTATGATTGTGGGCAAAGAATTGAAAACCCGTTCCATTGAATTTGCTCCATTCTCATTCCCTTAAGAGAATGTGATAGCAGTATGTGATAAGTCTGAAAGAAGACAAAATTATTACTATGAATGTATCAATGGATATGGACGTGGCAATAGACGAAATTATAATCGTCATCATTTGTGGTAATGAGAACAATAAGGTTCTCAAAATAATCTTTCACTCTGTGAAAAATATTTGTCATCGATTTGACATGAGACTTTGTAAAGCACATATAGATGATTATGGTCCATTCATGATGTGAATGTGACAATATCTGATTTATGAATACATATTCATTCTTCAAAGAATATGAACGTGCTAGTGGTAGTGAATACCGCACTCACCTCTAAAAGGAGGTTTGAGATGATATAAGAAAATAATGTCATTATTATGGCATGAATGGTCATTGGTCACGTACCTATTGTACGCCAAAATATTTTGGCATTGTGATTATTAAAAGACAGCGATAATGCAAGAAACAGATCTTGCATATAATTTTGACCATAACCATAATGGTATAACTTTCTCTTTAAAAAAGATATTCAATATATAGGTGTTGATGAATATGTGGTACTACAAAATTAATTGAGAACTCTGCAAGAGCCAATTATACTATTTTGGAGAAACACAATTAATTATCAATAAGGTATTGTGTTGTAGTAAGTCTCAAAGAAACTTATTCAGTTTCCAAAGTATACGTGAAAGCGGTTGATATATTGAGACTATAAATAAAGGAAATATTTAATATCTTCTATTACTATAACTTGTAGAGGGGTAATATGTATGTGAAAGGTTACCCGCTTTATTCTCTAATTTGTACTACATAAACAAAAGAATACCACAATGAAGTGGATATTTATTGATATAAAAACCCATATCATAATAAACTTGGAGTTTATTCATAATTGCACACATCATGGTGTAAACCTGAAGTTTATCAATATTGATAATTTATCCAGTTGGCATAATTGGTTTAGCCATGTTAATTCAAGTATGATGTGCAAAAATAAAAGAGAATTCACATGGGTAAATATTAAAGAACTAGAAAGTTCTTTACGAATTCTCTTACATTGCTTGTTCTCATTAATTAATAGACCAATTAAAATTGGGATTGAATCCCATGAATGCTGGAAATATCAAAGGTGAATATGGCCCATTCACCTGCCATGTATACCACATAAGATGCATCTAAGAGATGATTACATATGAGATTATTATTAACCCGCAACCTGGTGTTTGTGAGGTAACTTGCTCAATAATTTAATATAGAGCATAATTTCCAGATTTTCTATTCAAGATAGTTCATCTTGATAAGTTGGTTTACATCACAATTGGTTTAGCAAAATGATTTATTGAGTGCCTCCACTTAATAGCTAAATTATTGCTTATGAGAACAAAGTTATCTATATCAGTTTGATATACGTTATATACGAAAGTATATTACATTCTCCCCTCACAAGTGGTTCAGGGTCAGGAACCAAATAATTTCATCTTATTATTATTATTATTGATGTGCGATGTATATTTTGATTAACACCATAACGCACAAAGATGAGTTCTCAAAGTTGAGGAAACAAGTTAGTTTTTCTAACATGAGGGGGAGACATGATAAACAGTTGAGACAAAGTTACGTGGAATGAATTATCATTTGTACATCTAGATCCTCGAATAAGATAATATGAACTTGAAGTTCATAAAAGGATAATTCATGTGCAATTTATTGCAAAGCATGCCAGACGCATTTGCTGACCCAAAGAAAGTAACTATATTCTCATTGCAAATGCTTTTATTAAGTCCTAGAAGGACAACGTCTATGGTACGCTTAAAGCATATAGACAAATCGGTTTCAAATAAACTTCTTAAAATAGAAGATGAGCAAATGATCAAAATGATCATGATAAGGAGGCAAGTGATCTAGAAGATCACATGACATAACACTTCATAAAATCTTATGAGAGATTCAGGTACCTGAATATATGAATGAAGAGATCTCTATGTTATGTCTTTATGAAAAATAAGGAGTTGGAACCGATATAAAATGTTCGTCGACAGCATCTATGATAGCGCTAAATATATATATATATATATATGAGGATCTTAAGTCTGAAGAAACAATTCAAGTAAAATTGGTTTCATATGAAAGACATGCAGTTTTGAACATGTAGTTCAAGCACTTGAAAGTATAAAGTCAATGGTATGTGCAATCAGTTTTCGATATCTTATATGTCTAGCATGACATGAAAACTTGATATGCATCTAAAGTCTATTATATAGCTTATATGACTTAACAATCCCTGAAGGATTTAAATTGCTTAAAGCATATAAAATTCATGGTCATGAAGTACCACTTCCTTAGTGCAATTTGTGCACAAATGTATCTTGCTATAACTATATGCATGATAATATGATAGCAAGAGTTTTCACCCCTATGTGAAGAAATTGAAATGATGATTCCAACAAGATCATATGAAGACAATACATCTATCAGGGATGATGATTTCAAGGTGAAACAAATTCGTTGAAGTTAATATGGCTGATATTGTTTATCAAATATCTACCAAAGATCTTTTGAAGATGGTGCACAAGATTGGAATGCAAATGCTTAAAGATGTGAATTGATGCTCTCATCAGGGGGAGTTAATACGCGTTGTACTCTTTTTCCCTTACAAGGTTTTGTCTCACTGGGTTTTCCTTGCAAGGTTTTTAACGAGGCAACCAAAAGGCGTATTGTTAGATATGTGTACTCTTTTTCCTTTTCTAGAAATTTTTTTCCCATTGGGTTTTATTTTAGTTAAGGTTTTAACGAGGCATATTATTTGTTGAATAGACATTCAAGGGGGAGTGTTATAAATAGAATTATATTTATGGTGAATGTCTATATTTAGAGAGATTCTAGGGTTCATTGCTTAGTGGCTAAGTCACCCTCTCCCTATAAATAGAGGGTTCTATTCCATTGTAGTTCATCCCAAAATTCAATAAGAATTCTCTCTCCCTACTTTTCTCTACAATACTCTTCTTTTTTTTTTATTATTTCATAACAGTAATAAACAAGAAGAAATATAATAGAGGCAGAGTTAAAAATTATATATATGGAATTGTTAATTAAGTAAATGGGAGTTGGTAAAATCGACTCCCTATGTTTGATTAGGGAAGCAGCCATTGAACTTAGAGCCTCCTGTTTTAAGGAAAAACCCACTAAACAGTCAAAATTTTAAGGCAGTGGCAGACCAATTCATGATGGCACGACCTAAAAGACTTCTTTTTCATTATTTGCTGCTTAGACCGTCAAAATATAAAAGACGCGGAGAAAATTGTACTATGACATAATCAACTCTAACCAAAATTTAAACCTTCTAACCACCACCAATTAAAGCGTGTGTTATAGTTGCATGGCAACCAAGGGTAAAAACTTGTATTTCATCAAACCATATTAATACGTAATGATTACGTGATAAAGCATAAATTATTTATGATTTAATGAAAATATTTTCAATTTGGCAACATTGAGGGAGAACTATATTTTTCTATATAAACTACTACTTTTAATATTGTTTGAACAAAAAAAGTATAAAACCCTCTTGTCGGACTAATTGCCAGAATTAAAGAAGGTAAAATCTTAGCTAAACATAATTAATTCCAGATCTAGATATGCAGGGTAGAGAAAAATGAAGAGGAAGAACAATCACGGATAATATTTCTTCATACAATAATTATACATCAATCATATGTGATAAGCTTACATCTATAACCGATTTGTATCATGAACATGGAAGAAACAAAAAAGGAGCGAAGGAGTTGTGCTTCCTTCAGAGATTCTCTTGATTCTGGCCTCCTCCTTTCTTGGGTTTAGCTACCCCTATTTATATTAGTAGCTTCCACATTTGTCCAATGGTCTTTGAGCATACTTTCTCGTTATCCTGCCCTCTTTCATTTGCTTGATCGTTACATGGGTTCCGCGACGTAAGCTTTCTTACGGTCTGGCCCCGACGATGACCGAGGTGTCCTTTGCCATCTTGCCTTGTGGGTACGACTACGACTTGGCCGACCCCATATCGTTCCTCTTAGGGATGATTAACCCATGGTCAGATTTCGACCCATACAAATATAAAAAAATTTCAAGGAACAAGTTAAAATTTAGTATGAAATATAAATATATAAACTATATTGCTCAAGGGTGGATATACTAACATCACCTTATTATAGTGACTTATTCATCTGTTTATTACATCACGGATAGTGCTAATACAAATAAAGCAAAAGCGCAAAATTTCATGTAGTCAATAAGTGCATGCTGTATAATTTCTCACAGATCACCATTCTAGCCGTTAAATACTTTTAATTATCTAATCTTCAATTTTACTTTTCTTATAGCATCAAAAATTTCGACGATAACAAATGTGATCCCATGAATAAGGTATATGGAGAGTAATACTAATATATATGCAGCCTTAACTTTATCTTGTGAAAATAGAAAGACTGTTTTGGATGAATCGGCTAAAGGAAAACATAGTCACAATATATATTATTGATTTCAATGGTGATGATTTCCACAACACCTATGTAAAAGAAATGTAAGTTGTCCAATAGTGCTACACTCATAGGTATTGGTTCATATTTCAATTCAGAGAAAACAAATAGTGCAATAAATTACAATACATCACTCGTTACACGCTGAGACATGAAGACCTAGCATGAGATATATATCTTCATGACTTCACCAATGATACACTAAAAAAATAGGTAAATAGAGCTTAATTAAAAGCTCTTTGTTTTAGGGGTTATCTCATGGATATTTATAATATTAACATCCTTAATATACTCACAACATAAATAATATTAAGTGCTTAAAAACCCCCCTCTTAATTAAATTACTTAAATATCTCTGTCCTTAGTGCACTCTGGTGGAAGAGTAGGGTACCTCTTCCTATCAGTGCAATAATTATAAATAGTATATTTTTGGCGAACCCAACGAAGTCTCCTGTATTGTAAAGCATCCAAATCTTGGAAAGCCTTTTGATCCCACCATCTCATGCCTTTGGTGTTACAAACTTGGACCTCTTGTGGGGTGGCAGCTTCACAGCCGTCCACGTGGAATGATGTGTAGGAGGCAGTAAATGGGGCATTGGACCAGTTTGTTTTCTCCAATCCACCTCTTGTAGCCCAATCATCTGCATTCCAAAGGCTTGAGTATATTTTCATGGGCTGATTGAATGGGAATTTCACACCTAGGTCTTTTGAGTTCTTGAATGCTCTAATTGGGACGTCATCCACAAAGATCCTGCAATATTAAAGCAATTTAGCATTGTCCATTTGGTGGAGGCCCAAAGGGAAGTATAAAGTCCAACTGGATAGAGTGTTTGAAAATAACTTATGCAGTATAGCCGTTCTAAAAATAATAGCGAGCAAAATATATATTTTTTGTTGATGTTAATGTACAATAGACATATAATATATATACTATGTTATATCTATATTTATTGTATATTTGGCTAATAAATTTAGTTATTCTTGATCGAGCAACCAATCGTATAATTGCCCTGAGCATGAACAAACTACTTTAGTACTTGTGAAATAGAAGAAAAAGGTCATTGATTTTGAGCATCCTTTAATTTCCACCATTGTGCTCAAATTTCAAAGCTAAGTAGTAAACAGTCGCAGGTCTTTTGAAAGAAAAAGTTGCACATTCGACAAGGAAACATTATATTTTCAAGATTTAGGTGCAAGATAGAAGACAAAAATTCTGTTGCAAGGACACCAATTTGACAGCTGCTTTATTAAAGTATGTGGACCAGATAATTTGAATAAACAATTTAAACACATAAATTTAAGTGTAAATATTGAGGAATATATACATATATTATCCTTGTGAAAACTTGGCGTAACTGATAAAGTTGCTATCAGGAGGTTACGGGTTCAAACCGTGGAAACACCTTCTTGCAGAAATGCAGTATAATGCTATTACAATAGACTCTTGTGATCCGTGTACACCAAAAAGACCTTTTTTCATATACTATCCCTATCTATAAGAGTATATCAAAAGCTTCAAATCTTGATTAACACAAAAAGACCAACATATATACTCGAGAGGATGCTCACATGGGAGAGATCCTTACTATAATCTTGACTATTTTTAGACCATAGTGAACTTACAAGTTTTCATGCTTTATTTTAATTAAATAATACTCTAATGCCTAGACAAATGTGTATTTTGCTTTTTTCTTAAACAACAATTGTTACCACACTTTTTTAAAACATAGCAGGACAGGGACCACGTATAAAATCAAGTGCACTCGCTCCAAGAAATACATGGGACCACAGAAGAAAATATGACTGACAATACAATAATCAAAACTTATATTAGTAATATTTTCTGTTTTAGGAAATTTAATGAAAAGGCAAGAAATTTACGGAAAAGAAAGCTAAGGTTAAGGTACTTACACAATCTGGAAGGTATTCCAAAGAACAGAATAAGAATGGTAACCCTTGGTTGGGTCAAACCAGAGATAGATTCTCTGTTCTCTGTCTCCTTTTCCTCCCGTGAACACATTCGTCTGCAAAATGTATGGTTGCCCAGTCCTGTTCCCTAAGAATTCAAAATCTATCTCATCGTGCTCTGCATTATTCGATGACAGCTGAAACATTCCCATAAAAATAATTAAATTTACTACAAAAACACATACTAAAGGAAATGAAAAAACTCTACAATGCAAAATATATTGCTGCAAAAATGGAGAAAATTGCAGATCTAAGTAGTGTACATTTTCTAGTATGGTGCAACAACTGAGCTAGTATTAGTATATAGTATTAACTTACGTAAAATGCAGTGACAACACCAGCTGAGTCTCCACCAACAAGCTTCAGTTTCATGCTAAAGTGCCCAAACAAATATGATTTCTTTGACTGAAATCCAGCACCTTCATTCATACAAATTAAATGAAAGATTAGATAAAATAAGAAAAAATCATTAATAAAAAAAAAAAAAAAAAAAAAAAAAANACTAATTAATATTAGTACCTGAAGACCTGTCAAGAACAAGATCAACAGTGGAACCACCATTGAGGTACTTGATGTGGTGACTAGCCCAACTGGGCTCATAGTTTTTCCAAAAGGGTACATCAACTGGTTTTCTGGGATACCCACAAAGTCCTAGTAATGACAAATTAATCAAAACAATACTAAACAAAAGTCCTTTTACACCCATGGTGAAAGTTCTAAAGCGTAAGCCAATCAGAAACAACTATTTGTTTCTCTTGTATCTGTGTATTTTTTGTTTGGGAATGGATTATGGCCCAATGGGAGTGAGGAAAATGGAAGGGAAATGGCCGATTATTTATAGGTGTAAAGGGGCAGGGGGTCACTTGTGGTCGTCAACACAAGGTTAAAACAACGTGAGATTTTTGAGATTTTCGGTGGTTGTGTTTGGCTTTTCAAATAATTGGGGAAGTGTCTATTGGGTAATACACATTGGGGGAGCAATTAACGGAGACATGCACATGCCCGCATCAGAGAAAAGCTTTTTCACTCTCAGACCGAGGAGGAAAGTTATATGACCCCATTCATTTCACTCGACCTAATAGCGCGTGCTTTTCACTTTTAATTATTGCGTAAAATGTCTTATCAGTCAAATCCCTTCGTAATAACTTTATTTGTTTCAAATATTTTTTAACTGCTANAAAAGTTACGTAAACTTAACTTAAAACTTAAAAATTAAAGTTAAGGTAAGTAGTTCGGTTACCGAACTAGTAGTTTAGTTTAGTAACGTAACTTTCTTTCACTTATATACCAAAAAATAAGCTTCTCTCTCCATCAGGGATGGGTGTAGAGTAGCGGCACGAGTTTTATTTGAATTCATAACTTCTAACGCAAAGTATAGATATATGAATACAAACTTATTAAAATTACAACAAATGGTATGTGTGAATTCATAAGTTTAAAAATTACAATAAAATTAATACTAAGAGTCTAAAAGGTTTAATCTATAAAATTTATGTCTTGGATTCACTTCTGCTCTCCATGATCCTTATTTAATATATATGCTCACTTGATTTAAGGTTAAATTTCATCGGTGGTCATTCAATTTTGTGTTCATTATCCAAAAGTTACTTTTCTTTCTTTAGTTTTACAAAAATCATTTTACCATGCTCTAACTATCACAATAATCACTTTGACTAGATTTTACAAATCTTTCACCTGAAAAGTCTATTATTTCATTGACATTATAAATTCTCATATTTATGTAATATATTCGTACATTTATTTTTTTTAATATTAATTTTCAAGATATATAAGTAACATTATCAAATTTGTTAGTAACACTACCATGAATATCTCAAGTCTGCATTCTTAATCATGCTTAGTGAAATATATTTAATAAAAATTAAAAAATTAATCAAAGCTCATTGATTTATCAGCCAAGGCATACCCATTTAATAAATAAAATAATCACATTTAGAAAAATGACACATCAGATTAATACTTTCAAATAAATAATATTAACATGTAAAACTTTAAAAAACTTAATATTAAACACAAATATCTTTAAACAAATTTATTGACTATAAAAATTTATTATTTGTTAAACAAATATATTTTTATTATTTTAAATAAATATTTAAAAATAAATACTTTTATCATTGTTATATAATATGTTCATGTTTGAATATGATTAAACAAATTGAATGCCATGGAAAAATTAAATATATAGATATATTATAAAAATAATAAATAAAATAATTTAAATTTATTTTAATTATAACTAAAATACCTAGGTAAAATATATTATATAGTATATAATATAGAAGGAATTAAATAAATGAGAGGATTAATGTCAAGGACATAATAGACTTTTCAAGTAAACGTATTATAAATCTGACCAATGTGACTTTTGCGATAAATAAAGCAAAGTAAAATAATTTCTGTGTAACAAAAGAAAGAAAAGTGACTTTTGGGTAATGAACACAAAGTTGAATGATTTTTACGTGACAAAAAGAAGAAAAGTGACTTTTGCGTAATGAACACAAAGTTGAATGACATGATTTTTACCTAGCTATACTATATTAGAAACTTATTTACTTATATTCTCTATGTTTTGGAGTTTTTAATAAATATCTAGGTTTTTCTTACAAATTGTATGCGTTGCTCCTTAAAAGGCCCCCACCCCATTATTAGTGCCTTCAATTAAGGGATTCAATTACATCCTTCCTTTTTTTTTTTCCCTCTTCTCTTCTTTCTCCTTTTTTTAATATCAAAATCCCTAAATATACGCCTAGAATCTCTATCTTCTCTCTTCCCACCATTGCCGATAACTTTATATTATTAATAAATATTCAGAAGTTGAATGATAATTGTATAACAACTGTATCATAATTGTATTTGAATTGTATTAGATTCATCGATGCCTAAAACATAATTGTATCATATTTGTATCACAGTTGTATCTAACTCGTATCTGGTACATTAATACCATACCCGATACAATACTAATAAATTAATATACAATTATAATACTTGTGATATAAACTGTGAAATCGACACGAACTCATAACTGCTTGTAAGAATATACAACGAATATACAATTATCAACAATTACGATACATATACAGTACAATCGCGATACATCATCTTCCTCAAGTTTCAATCACAACTCTAAACTAAAAATTTAATATAGTTGTATTAGTATTATGTCGAGAATTCTTTTGGATACTGATGTATCATATAAAAAAATTGAGGGGGGGGGGGGGAGGGGAGGGGGGGTAAAAATAAGAGAGAGATTTTGGGTGATTATTAATAAAGAGAGAAAAAAAACTGAATCTTAAATGTAGGGGAAGTTATTAGAAATATGGGGGGAGGGGGGGGGGGGGAACATAAATGAAAGTGGTAAATGAGTTTCTATTATAGTATATCAAGGTAAAAATTCATTGAGTGACCACCTATAAAATTTACTCTTGATTTAATTACTAAACAACTATATGATACGGTATGGTGTAATTTTGTAAGTTTTACCCTCACACAAGAGGCGGGTTCAGGATCTGAACCTTATGAGTTCGGAATCATAACCCTTTAAGTTATTGAGTTCTAAATTAAGAAGTTGTACATATTCAATGAATTTCTTAAGAAAAATATATGGTTTAAATTAAAGGTGTCTAATGGTGGGCCGGGCCGGGCCGGATCGAGAATAAAAGTGACTGGCCGATCACCAAACCGGGCCGATTATCGATTTTTCCGTACCAGGCTTAACGGGTCCGGGCCTATCCGGTAAAAATTAAATTGGAACGGTTACGGGTCTAAGGGGCCGGGCCGAACCGGGTTTATGTAAAAAGAAAATTATTTGTTAATTTTGTATAACTATCGTAATTTTATATTAATATAAAGTAAAATTCTAAAACAAAAAAATAATCTTATAAAAAGAGTGTTTGAATAAATGATGCAAAGGCTTTAAATTTTAAAATCCTTATATTTGAAAAATTCATAGTTTTAAAATAAACAAATTTTCATAGTTTCATAACTTGAATATAAGGATTAAGCTTCAAAGGCTTTCGTAATTTCATTTCAAATTTTCATTGCATAATAATACTTCAAATTAATCTAACTAACTAAAATATTAATTATAAATACGTCTAATAATTTTAAAATAACATAAATTGTCTCAAATCAACTTAAATACGAATTTCTGGAGGACGCTCAAAACAATTCTTCATATGCCTGCTTAAACAGCCTGCGCCCACCCACTTTATACGAAGATTTAAGAGTCGACCACAGTTCTTGCACTTTACTTTGTGAACTTCTTCATTTTCTTCTACCACCTCAAAGTGTTCTCAAACATACGAGCACACTCTATAAGTACGGGGCATCATTTAACTTGAATTGAGAATTTGAGTTTGGGAAATGAGAGATGATTGAATAAATGAAGAAGGGGGGGGGGGTATTTATAGTTTTTCAAAGGGCTAAATTAGTAATTACCTAAAGTGTTATTTTAAAAAAAAAAATTGCCCAAAAAAGGGCTATTCTTGCAAAATATCCGTTGGGCAACGGTCAAATGGATTTTTTTTTTTTTAATTTTTTGCCGTTGAACCGGTCCGGGCCGGTTCGGTTAACCGTTTCAACAGTGAATTTCCTTACCGGGTTTGACCGGTCCGGTTAACCGGTATGAAAAAAGTAAACGACCCAACCCTCTAACCCCCCAAACCCAGCCTACCCGACCCCCTACCACCGATCCGGTCTGGTCCGATTTTTTAATCAGAATCGATTTAGCAGTCCATACCAGGTAGATTTAGGAGTGACTGGCAGTGAATGCCCGGTACCGGTCTGGGCCGGTCCGGAACTGGGTCAACTCGGCCTGTTAAACATACTTAATTTAAACAAAAATTATTGGGTTCGGCCGAACCCGCATCCCGCACCTACCCCGCCCCTGCCTCACACTAATTCAAAGTACTTTAAAATTTATAGAAATCTTTGACAAACTTGTACTTGTGCTAGATATTTACACACATTCGCATAATCGAATACATATTTGGCAATGAATCCATGCAACATGTATAAGTGGCGATAGATGAATTGAGAGTGCGATAAACGCGAGGAAGTAGGGAAGAAGAGTAGATAAAAGGAAAAAGAGTGAGCTGAACAGGGGTTTGTAGTGTAGTTAGGACACGTATACCAAATAAGAGCATGTGTATGGGTCGGGTTTTTGCGTAAATTTTGACGGCTGAGCCAACGCGTCTGTATGGACCCCAACATGGGCTGGCTCTGTTACATAACACACCCAATTGGGCAATTGGGAGACATAGTCACATAGCCTTCTTTTGGTTCCAATTCTTGCCACGTCCCTTTAGTTACCTTATTTATGTAACATACCAGAATGTAATAATGAAACATCCTTTTTTTATGAAACGTCCATTTTTATCTTGAAAATAATGTAGACAGCGCTGAATAACTTATAGCAATGAAGTCTCCCTCTACTTCAAATGATATATCGCAGTCATTCAATAGAATCTCGAATCCGATACTTAATGATATGTTTCTAATATTTTTAGTTTTAGCTAATAGTTTAGATATAAATTTGGTTGAAACTTTAAAAAAATAAAATTTGAAGTTGTGTTAAAAAATAACTTTTGGAAGTTGAAGTTATATTTGGACATGTATTTTATTTGGAAAAAATGGAAGTTTTGAGAGTGGCCTAATAAATTTCACCAAAAATTGTCTCAAACCAATTTTTGGAGCTTGAAAAATTTTCTTCAAAAATATTTCAAAAACTGATTAAGTTTCATGAACAAACAATATTTTCAAAACAAACGGTAAAAAATAAGATCATATCCAGAAATTAGGT